TGTTAAAAGTTTATTTTCTTGTGTTTATGATGGTGGTTGAACAAAAGAACTTGGCTATGCCTAGTGTTATCCCCATTCTGTCTAARATCACTGAATAAAAACTAAACGGAACTAATTATTTAGATTGGAGTAAGATTGTTCGTTTGTATTTAAGGAGTATCTCGAAGGACAACCATCTGACTAAGGACCCTCCTACTGATGAGACTCGCACAGAATGGCTAAGGGTTGACGCTCAATTGTTTTTGCAAAACCGTAATTCTATTGAGAATGAGTACGTCGGTCATGTCTCTCACTATGAGTTTGTAAATTAACTAATGGAATATTTGGCTTTTCTATTCTCTGGTAAAGAAAATATTTCCCGTATTTTTGATGTTTGCAAGACATTCAATCGGGCTAAACAACAGGATCAATCTCTTTAGACCTATTTCATGAATTTCAAATGCACTTATGAGGAATTGAACGCCTTGTTACCTTTCAGTACTGATATCAAAGTTCAACAGACTCAACGTGAATAGATGGCTATTATGAGTTTTCTGGCTGGCCTTAATCCTCAATTTAATGGTGCTAAGTCACAGATTCTGTTTAATCCTGAGATTACCTCTTTAAAANCACACTAAAAGGACTTGCCAGAAATTGCTAAAGAAAAACCAGAAGTCTTCTGGGTCTCAGTCAGCTCATGTTGTAACTACGAGTGATGCTCCTCATCCATCGTCAGATCAGACCATTACAATTTCTACAGATGAGTATGCGAAATTTACCCAGTATCAAGAGGCATTAAAGAACTCCTCTCAGTCCATCACCGCCCTTGCTGAGTCAGGTAAAACCAATACATGTCTTCTTTCTTCTTCSTCTCAGTGGGTCATTGATTCTGGTGCAACAGATCATATGATAGGTAATCCTAGTCTCTTTTCCACTTTCCAATCACACACTTTTCCTTCTTCAGTCACCTTAGCAGATGGTTCTATTTCTTCTGTCCTTGGTTCTRKCACTATCAATCCCACACCAAYACTTTCTTTGTCATCCGTATTGAGTTTACCAAAATTTTCTTTTAATTTGGTATCTGTTAGCAAACTCACTCGTACTCTTAACTGCTGTATCTTATTCTTTCCTAATCATTGTCTGTTTCAGGATCTTATGACGAAGAGGATTATTGGTAAAGGACAAGAATCAGGAGGTCTGTACATTTTGGATACCCAGGAACCCTAGACCATTGCCTGTTCTAGTACTTTATCTCCTTTTGAAGCTCATTGTCGGTTGGGGCATCCATCTTTACCTTTGTTAAAGAAGTTATCTCCTCAGTTTCATGATGTATCTTCTTTAAATTGTGAGTCTTGTCAGTTTGCAAAACATCATCGTCTATCGTCTGTTTCTCGAGTTAATAAAAGGGCTAGTCATGCTTTTGAGTTAGTACATTCAGATGTTTGGGGACTTTGTCCCATTATGTCTAAGATTGGATTTCGATATTTTGTTACCTTTGTGGATGATTTTTCTCGTATGACTTGGCTTTATTTAATGAAATCTCATTCTGAGTTGCTTTCACATTTTAAAGCCTTTTGTGCTGAAATAAAAACCCAATTTGATGTGTCTGTACAAACATTGCGAAGTGATAATGCCAAAGAATATTTCTCTGATTCCTTTCAGACTTACATGGCTCAGAATGGAATTCTCCGTCAATCATCTTGTGTTGATACTCCATCTCAAAATGGAGCGGCTGAGAGAAAAAATAAACATCTTCTTGAAACTGCTAGGGCTCTTTTATTTCAAACACGTTCCTAAATAGTTTTGGGCTGATGCTGTTTCTACAGCGTGTTTTTTGATTAATCGCATGCCCTCCACTGTTCTAAATGATTAAATTCCTTATAAGATTCTGTTTCCTAATAAATCTGTGTTTCCTGTTGAACCTCGTATCTTTGGATGTTCTTGTTTGGTTCGTGATGTTCGTCCGCTGGTTTCCAAATTAGACCCCAAGTCATTAAAATGTGTCTTCATGGGATACTCTCGTCTTCAAAAAGGGTATGGGTGTTTTTCTCCTCTCTTGAACAAGTATCTTGTGTCAGCTGATGTTACATTCCATGAACATCTTCCTTTCTTTACCGCTCCATCTACACCTGTGTGTCCACAAGAGGATGATGATCTACTAGTGTATCATGTCACCGGTCTAGACGCTAGTGTTGCTCCAATACCCCCACCACCACCTTCTCAACCAAAACTACCTATTACTCAAGTCTATTCTCGACGACCTAATCCTCCTATGACAAGTCCGGCACTGGTCTCTTCTTTGTCATCGGATTCAATGCCAGTGATATTGATCTACTTCTTGTTCGTTTGTTGCCTCTCTTGATTCTGTAGGGATTCCCAAATCTGTTCAGTAGGCCTTATCCCATCCTGGGTGGCGTGATGCCATGCTTGAGGAAATGAATGCCTTGACTGAGAATGGTACTTGGAATTTGGTCGATTTACCTGCTGGTAAGAAAGCGGTTGGATGCAAGTGGGTCTTTGCTGTCAAATATAATTCTGATGGATCAGTAGCTCACCTGGTGGCCAAAGGCTATGCATAGACATATGGAGTGAACTATTCTGATACTTTCTCCCCTGTGGCAAAATTGACTTCGGTTCGATTATTTATTTCTTTGGCAGCTACATATGATTGGCCACTTTACCAGCTTGATATTAAAAATGCTTTCCTGCATGGAGTTCTTCAGGAGGAGGTTTATATGGAGCAACCACCTAGGTTTGTTGCTCAGGGGGAGTCT